TGATTTTAATCGAATGATGCATGTTTATTGAATTGATTGGAGTCTGACCAGCTTTTCTCAATTTCTGCTGCAACCTGAGATAGATAGAATCTGATTAGGTTGTTAGAGCTTCTTCATTCGATAGTAGGAGATTGGCTATACGAGAGTTAGCCAGTTTACTGCTTTGTACTGGAACTCAATTCCAGTAGTGGAGTTCTGTGTTCATAGCCTCAGCTTTCTATCCCGATGAAGACTAGCCGTCTGCCGGGTAGTTAGACTGAGAGGGCTTGGTCAGCTTAAGAGATTCCAAGCTACTGTCGGATCTTCCACAGTCTAATCAACAGTAAATCAACCCAGGGAATTACAATTGAACCTAACTAAGGGGCTAGGTGGACTCAATCCCGAGTGACTCTTACCTGCTTTAGAAAACCGAACAATTTACTGCTTTCTTACTGCTTTAGCTTTAACAACAATCACTCGAATTAGTTTGCTAGATAATAGAGAAGCACGGAGTAAGCAGTAGATCTAGACCCCGGGTTGATAATATAACTTGCCTGTTACTGCATTCCCGGACTGCGATTACACTTGGTCGCAGTTCGGTGTTGTGTTTTAGCGTGTCAGATTGTGAATTAGAATGGTGGGTATTTGTGGGGTGGCGATCTTATTCCTACAGAACTCAGACCCCCTATGGGCATCATAGCAAACTCCAACTAGGCCAAGAACACCACCACCACTGACAACAGCAACCGTGACATATGGGCTTCCTCCTACTCTTCTTCTCCGACCACAAGAACTCTTCCGTCGGGATCCAGAATTCTCGTTTCCGACGACAAACAGACGGCTCACAGCTATGATTACACCCTGTCCTCCTCCCCTTCCTCTGGCGATTCTCCGGAAAATGCAAAACCAGCCATGAAAAGAACCAATTCCAGCAACCCAATCCTTTCCAAAACACAATCCACCATCTCCCGCCTACTCCTTGTTGGTCCTCTTCTCCTTCCTCCTCTTCGCCCTTTCCACCTTCGAGCCCCCTCCCCTTCCCACCCGTCTCGTTCCCCACCAGTTCCTGTCCAAGAACCACCGTGCTGGAAGAGGGAGAAGGTGGAATTATTGGCTCGACTCTGCCACCAGCTCAATCGCTCGCGGCGGCGGCAGGATTGTCGGGAGGAGGAGGACACGAGTTTCGCCTCTTCCTCCGGATGTTCCTCCAGTCCAGCCTAGCATCCAGATCTGACGTAGTTTCCTCTTCCGTTCTTCTTCCACTCCCTCTGCTTCCAGATCCGGTTTCGAAACTATAGTTCGCGAGGAGAACGACTTGTTCTCCGCGCTCTTCGGCTGCATTGCGCAACGAATCGCTGTAAATCGCCGTTGAAGGAGAGAGGAAAATGCTCCTGGTCCAGATTTGACGCGGAGCGGTCCGTGAAAAGAGTGAATCACATCAAGGGAATGGTTAAAGCGGCGGCGGCGGGGACGATGGAGCCGACTCCTCTGCGGGGTAAGAAAATTCGAATCAATGCTACCATTAATTGCAGTTACAATCCTGCTCCAAGTGGTGATGGCTAGTCCTCCATCGACGACGACGAGTCGACGACTCGGGTGGGTTACAGATCGGTGGTTAGATTCGAGGCGAACGAGCTCGACCTGGAAAACTCGCTACCCGGTTGACAATCCCTTCCGGAGACAGCCTCTGAAGGACTTCGAATCTCCCAACGAAAGAGGGCGGCAGCTTGCCAAACGCCGGCCTCTGGCGATCAGTGGAGGAAGTTCACGGTGGGGTGCATACCACCTGTTAATTATTTATTATTATTTTTTAATTGACATATCATTAAGTTAACCATCCAGTCATCAGTCCCTTTTGCCACGTCATCAAAAAACTAACGGAGTTAACGGAGACTAACGGCCGGTGACTAACGGTGAAACGATTCGTAAAGTTAGTGGCCAATTAGAAAGAAAAGTAATTTGGGTGGCAAATGTGAAAGATTTATGTAATTTGAGTGACCAAACGTGTAATTTATCCTATATTTAAGTTGAGATTTTAAGATTATCCTTCATTTATAAGTTAGAAAAAATTATAAATTAATTATTAAAATATGAAAATAGAAGTATCAAACTCCACAAAATACTTACAGGAGACTTAGCGGGCTAACTAACTGTGATAGAAAAGTACTTTGTTTTTCATAATTTTAACTTCCTCTATGTTTTGTATTAATAAAGTACAACAAATGTGTCTAGTCTAATTAGTTACAATTCTTGTCTTTGGTGAAAGGGACCATGGTTCAAATCCTAGCATTGATATCTTTTTATATGAAATAAAAAAAATGTATAGACGAAAATACCCTTCCTACTTTCACTCTCGTTGCAGAAAATTTGAAATGGAGCAAATCAAGCTCTTTAAAATGTACTAGTGTGGGCCCCGGCCAGTTGGCCGGAGGAAGGTGAGGTATGAAATTTGATAATATAATGGGTGTATAGCTTATTGTTGTATAGTTTTTTTTGGGAAATTCGTGATAAAAATAGTTAATTTTAGCAGGAAAGAGACATGAATGATGCAATGAATCAAAAATCGGCTTTATAAACCAAAATCAAGTACATGTTACCTTGTGAAACAATATTGTTTCTGGTAATATGATGAGGTGGAGTAAGTTTTATAGAAACCGGATTCCAGAAAATCGAATAAAAAATCGCCTATCCCGTCGGTTTTCGGGAAATGAGCATCTCACAATCGTTGCTAGCTTTTACTCGGCCCGTTGGTCAATTAATTTGCTTTATAAAACTTTCATCTTGTCGTCATTGTGCTTTCTGGTTTTTGTTAGGCCATGATAAAATCTAAGAAAATCAAGAACGAATAACACAATTTGGGATAGAAACCGCCGTTGTCGTATCCTAGAAAACGGTGGTAAACACAGACTCACCTGCCAAACTGGTTTGGATTGAGATTTTTATCGGGTATAAATTAGACTCGATCAAAATGAGCCAAAACTTGAATTCAGCATGTTTGACCGACCCATGCCAAATTCTAATTATTCTTTACTTTTAAACTTTCTATTTGAAAATAAAAAATAGTGAAAGAAAAGAGATGACTGCAATTCGCCATTTGCACATCACTTATTCGAGAATAAAACCATAAAAATTCAAAAGGAACTGAAAATGTTTAGGATCGTTTTAATGTTTAAAATAACCAAATAGATCGTTCTGTTTAGTTTTTTACTAACAAATACCAAACGATTCCCTATAAAATACACTATAATTTGATCATTATGATATCAAATAATTATATAATATATTTTTGAAATTAGGGATGACAATTTCGACCTGACCCGATTTACCCGACCTGTTTGACCTGTTTTGGAGTAGGTCAAACCCGCCCCGTAGGCGGGACGGGGCGGGCATGGGTACCTCTCATCGACCCGACCTGCCCTGACCCGCCCCATTCTCGACCCGTTCTTGCCTATATTACATATAATCTTAGTCAAATTACTTAGGATTTTCCTCTTATTACATTATATTTTAGCTATAATAAAGTTGTAAATAAGTAAAAACCTCAATTTCTTCAATAATTTAACTACATTTTATCATATTATGGTTTCTTTCTTGGTCTTTTAATGAAAATAACGAATGTTTCTAATATTTTTCGCATAATTACATACCCAACGGGTCGACCTGCCCCTACCCGCGCCCCGTGATAAATTACCCGACCTGGACCCGACCTGCCATGGGGCGGGTATGGGTATCGAGATACCCGCCCCGGACCTGCCCCATTGCCATTCCCATTTGAAATTATAAAAATTGGACTACTTGGTTTGGTCGAGGTTGAACCATTGAATAACTTTAAAATACATTATATTTTAGCCACTAAGATATAAAATAATAGCATAATATATATTATGCCAGAGAAAATAGCTTGTTTTAGAATGACAAACAAATGATGTTCATTTGTTTTACTTGATGGCCAAATCCCGTGTAGGTCAGACCCATTCAACTCTTTTATTTTATGGTTAGCGGTTAGCCCATTAGATACCATGCATTAGTTTATTGTTAAATTTTTTATTTTTAGCAATAAAAATGAGTATTGTTTTTGCCTTTTCATATATATTTTATCACCTGGGAGAAATAAAAGGGCTTAAAGAAAAAAATTGACACTCCTGGACCCGTTTAAATCCGCATGGGTACGGTAAGTTGGCCCGTTCCACAGAGGAAAGAGAAAAATATTGACACTCCCTATTCTACCCTTCCTACAAACGCTCCTGGAGCAGGGAATTTGAAATGGGGGAAGGTTTTTTCCTCCATGCTATTATATGTTTTTAATTTAAAAAGATGCAACAAATGTACTTAGTGTGATTGGTTATGATCCTTGCTTTTCTTTAAAATGGTCATGGTTCGAATTCCATTACGTGTCTTTTTAATGAATAAAAAAAATTAATTGTGAAGACCAAAATGTTCTTCCTACTTTCACTCTCGTTGCAGGAAATTTGAAATGGGGCTCCCGTTTTTCCCTTCGGTGTATTATATTATGTGTAGATAGATTATAAGTAGTCTAGATTAATGAAAAAAAAAACTCATACAGATTTTATTGTCTCTCATTGGGCTTTGTAAGAGCCCAAACCTTCCCCCGAAGAACAGTAGCCATGTGGTCCACGTGCGTGCAAACTGCAAACTAATGAGAGAGGCGCCTACGGCCCATCAAATCCAGCCCTACGACAAAACGAAATCCAACGGCTGCCGTTAAAAGTTACTTACCCACCTCATTGGACGGCAGTCGTTCAACCAAAAAAAAAAAAAAAACCCACCAAAAACAAAAGAAATAATGAATCCCAATTCCCCCCCTGAAAGTGAAAACGAAAAAAGAACAGTTCTAATTTGAAGTTGAAAAGCAAAGCCCTAAAATTTCTGTCTTTGTTCCTTTTTTTTGGTGGCTTATAGCCTTTTCGATCTTTCGCTGAAAGGGCAGAGGAAATCAATCATGAGAGGAACGAAACGTCTCGCCACATCGTCGTCGGAGTTGGCGCCGGAGTCCAATGACACGGGTGTAAGTTGTTGCTCTCTGTGTGGGGGAAAAACCCTAATTGATGTTTGGTTGCTGCTCTGTTCTGTCGAATTTGGGGGAATGCCTTTTCGGTTTTGATTGGTGGGCTTGAGTTGGAACTGTAGTCTTTCTGCAGGGGAATGGAGACCTGAAGGAAAGTTGGTAACTTTTTCTCTTCCATGTAGCAGCAATGGCAACTGCAGAAAAAAAAAACAGACTTTTATGTTGCCTATCGAGTTCTTCTAGAAACTAAGGTGTAGACCTGCTTGTTTGGAAGCAAACTTACTATAATGAATCAATGCTACACCTTAGGACAATGAAACTTCCTTGATGCCAATCCAAAGTTTATTTTTGGCTGTGCACATTTGTTAACTTGGCTATTTATCCCTACAAGTTCCTTCTTTTCTGTCGTTTACTTTGCTGTGGAGGACAAGTAGAGTTGGTAGAGTTGTCCTTTTGGAATGCGTTTAGGCCATTCAGAATTTGGACAGGGTCGTATCGGCTGGACACTAAACAGTTGGTTTATGTTTGTTTCTGGTTTATGAAGTAGTATAATGCGTTGAAGCATGAGTGTTGGTTGATTCTCTAGTCACTTGTGGAGGCTCACTCACTTCAGGACTTTCAATGCTGTTACAGATGCGAACTAAAAGGGCAATGGGATCCTTTTCTGATGTTCACAAGGCAGTAACATCGCAGAAGCAGTTCAAAACTGCAACGCCATCCCTGGATGTGCAGCGAGCTGAGTTGTCTCGACAGCATGTGAGAGCTCTCAATTCCCAATTCGCCAGGTCAGCAGGTTTTTCTCTCCTGCTTATGTTTTGGCCCTCTTTTTATTGTGAATCTTTTGCTGTGTACTCTTTGAACATACCGTAGAGTGGTTTCTTCACTACTGAGGTGTGTTTGGCTTCCAAGTAATCCTTTTGCTAAGCATGTTTTTTCCTGATTGGTAATAGCTGGGTGCAAAAACAACTTAAGAATCACCCTGATGAACTTTGGGAAGATGGAGTTCATGACTATCTTACTCATGCATCCAGTATCATGGTACGAATTACAGGTTTTGTGTCCTTCCACTCCCATGATAACTTTGATATCCTTCTTCTATTTCTGATCTTTGTGGCTTTGATCTGCTTCTGTTCATATGTCAGCAAAAGTTCAGTGATGTAGTGAACTGGTTAAAAGCAAATGGAGCTAAGGGAGGACCTGGTGCCGAATCTTCTGCCAGTGACAAAAAACCATCACCTGATACTAATAAGATAAATGAGAATAATTTATCTAATGAGAGACCACCTGCTTTTGCTTCAACAAGTACGAGCTTTACTACAGCTGCATTGCCTCCTGCCATATTCTCCTACAATCAAAGCTCGGGAGCAGTGTCTAGTAGTAAAAACTCAAGCCTGCTTCTGTCAAATAGCCAAAGCTCAGGAATGTTCTCTGGTAGCCAAAGCCCTGCCTTACCGACAAACAGTCAAACGTCTGGATTGTTATCGAGCAGTCAGAGTACTGGGATTTTCTCAAATAGTAAGTTGGGATCCTTGGCCAACAATCAAAGTGCTGGTTTATTCTCCAAAAGTCAAACCCACAGTGCCGGGTTACTATCTAATAGTCAAGGTGCTGGGATGTTCTCCAAAAGTCAAACCCAAAGCTCCGGGTTACTATTGAATAGTCAAGGTGCTGGGTTATTCTCAAATAGCCAAACCCAAACTTTTGGGTCACTATCCAATAGCCAAGGTGGTAATTTATTCTCAAGTAGTTCGGGCCCTGCATTGTTTTCAAGCAGTCAAAGTACTGGGTTCTTTTCCAGCAGCCCAAGCAGTGGATTATTTTCTGAGAGTCCAAGTTCTGCGGGTGGGTTTGCCAGCGTACCAGCTCCTATCTTGTTTGGTAAGTGATGCGTGTCAGTTTACAGTTGTTGTATTCGCCTCTTTCTGCTTGAGACTCATAAGCTGTTATTTGACGGCCTGAGGGTAAGTTCATGTTGAAGCTGAATATGGCATATACTGTTCTTTTTGGATTTCAGGGGGTCAAAGTTCAGCTACCACAAAAGATAATGCCTCAGATGATGCAGCTGATGGTGATGATGTGGATTTTGGTTCCCTTTGCCCTTCACTGTTTTGAAATTTATTTTAATGGACTGACTGAGGCCACTTTTATTTGTAAACCAGGAGATGAATTGCCACAGCCTGGCAGTCCATCAGTGAAGAAGGTTGAAGAAAAGGGTGTTGCCATTGTCCATCAAGTCAAGTGCAAACTCTATGTCAAGGTAAACTGTTTAGTTGCCCATTTCATTTCCACATTTGGTGAAATTACATTGTCCAAATACATCAGCACCGGTTCCCTGTTGCTGCTGATCAGCCCTCGTTATCATTTGGCACGATGATCCACTGCATGTGTATACATAAGGTCTATGAAATTAACACGGACTTCTATTCTTGATGTGTCACCTGCGAATTTATATACTTGGCTGCTCGTTTAACAGCCAAAACCTTGTTTTCAGTCAATTGATCCTGCAGATAAAGACACATGGAAGGACAAAGGACCAGGGCAGCTTTCTATAAAATGTGCCGAGGGTGTCAGCAAGGGGACGAAAGAATCAAGCCCAACTCTTATCATTCGTAATGATGTAAGGTTCTGTTAGTAATGCTAAACTGTTTTGACGAATGTCTGAGTTAAAAATGAAAATGCAGAGATTTAGGCTGTGACTCATTTGACTGGCTGATCTTGTGCTTTGTGCTATATGGCAGCTGGGGAAGGTGCTACTAAATGCTTTGCTTTACCCAGGAATTAAGACGAGTTTACAGAAGAATTCTGTGGTTGCCATATTTCATGTAGCGGTAAATATATACTCGCTATTCAGTTTGTCTGCTGCTAGAGAACTTGTTATCTATCTTTCAATGCCTACTTAACAACATTTGACTCTTTAATTTTTGCAGGCGGATGATTCTGGTAGCAATGAGAGCGTTGCGGCAAGAACATTCTTAATCCGAACAAAAACTGAGGACGATCGGGACAAGCTAGCAACCGCTATCCGGGAATATGCGCCTGAATCGTGAATGTAGCAGTTTGTACATCAGCACCGTGAACTCTTTTTTGGCTATTAAGTTTTGGCAGTTATGCAGTGGATTGTGCTTGTATAAGGCGAGAAAAGTGAAGGAGCTTCCTTACGAATAATTAGGGTCAGTAATTTTTACCTTGTTTCACTGATTCAAACTCATGTAGATTAATTGTACAATTAACATGTTCCATATGACGAATGATAAGAAAGGTCTTCTTACCCTTTAGTTTCCTGGGTTGGTCACAAAACTTATCCAAACGATATAATTTATGATATGATCACTCCCTCTAACTCTGTCAGATTTTGGATTTGTTTGATTTCATAGCCAAGTGCCCAATTTTAGGATTTCAACAGCTTGGCATTCATAATTTATGATACGGAATACAGAAAGTAACGATCTAGTAAAACATCATCAATCTATCTACTCCTTTGATATCGTTTATCGTTTCTAGTTTCGAAGTTTGTTCGGCAAGAAATCAAGCAACCCAAAAAGAATCAAACTAGTTAAGGAAAAGAATGGATGGATTGTTCAAAAACAGTTGTGTTTCTATCCTTCAAACTAGGGGTCTTTTCTCTTCATCTTCTTGTTCTTCACCTTTTCCTACACCCGAATTGGTTTCCTCGTGTAACTCCAATTGCTTACGTGTGATCATCTTCGGAGGAAGTTTGGCATCTGGCATCATCTTTAACATGATTCCCATGGCGATCAGTAGCAATCCAGACCCATGCTGCTCGGTCAATGGCTTTGTGAATATCATATAAGATAGCAACAAAGTGACTGCCTTCCTAGCAGTTGTAATCTGCAAAGATGGGTCGATTGGCATTATAAGACCTCCTAACATTTTCTGCAAAATATAACAAGCAAAAACCCCAGAGAAAGTGTGCATACCATGGCAGTAGTGGCAGCTCCGAAGATAGCAACAAGGGACAAAACCGAGACTTGACCGACAAATGTAGCCAAAGCTTCGAAGACCAATACGCCGTATACATAGGGATGCTGCAGTCAATATTTGACAAACTGTATAAATGGGCAGTACGACATTCCCTCGTGTTTGTTTTTCTTGCCAAATGGTGGATTTTGAGGACAGTTCCTACTTTGATGGATTGTGTGCCACAATTCATCATCCAAATGACCTAAGACCCTAAGCTCCTAGAGGCATGACATGATTGCCATAGTTTACCTAAGGCGGGAGACCTATGCTAACTTTAGGGTCCACTATTATATTATAGTGTCACTTTGACATTATTATATTAAGTAGCAGGCCATACGTGATTAAATAACTATGCCAAGCGAAGTTCAAATGAGAAAAGGATGATGAACATTCCAAGTAATTCTAACTTAATCATGGCCAGCACGTCATAGGTCATGGAACCCACACACTAGAATATTTGAAAAGCAAACAGGCAAAAAGAAACAGCATGTAGCCATAGTTCTTACTTGAGCACAAGATTTCCAGGCGATGAACAACTCTCCGGTAAGGATCATTGGTGGAAGCAAGAAAGGGAGTCCAACAACAGTGGAGCAGAATAGCACCTCAATCTGCCAGAGACCAAGAAAATGAAAAATTATCTCTCGCTTTGTTTTATCTGTCAACGGATTTTAGAATAATATCCAAAGTGAAACGAGTATGCAATCAGTCACCTGAGTAGTGTCTGGATTCATGGTAAAAATAGCTTCTTGCAGATTACCCATTAGGGAATCCAAAACTAGAGCACCACAAATCATCACAACGCCGATAACGCTAAAATTTGGAGAAGTATGAGCATCAGCTAGAGTGAAAAGGATGAGGCCAGCGACTAGAAGGAGAGCAGAGACATATTCGTGAAGCGGGTATTTCCTTCTTAATCCAGGAATGAAAGCACCCATTACCATAACTGGAAGAACCTAGGAGATTTTTTATTTTACAGCAAAACACCAAGTGTAATTAGTCACAAAGATTGATCTTAATTGTCTATTAGAATCACAACACATGAAACAATCTTCTCACCTTGGTAGATTTGAACATGATCTGTGCAGGGTAGTTGAGAAAAGCCAGGGAGCCTTTGGTCAATCCATGAGAACCCATAAGAACAGCAGAGAGTTTGACATATGTTTTCCATGGGTTCACCATTTGCTTTGGGGTGAAACCCTGCAAGTATATGAGGGCCAAATACACAAATCCTTGGACAAACGTGAAGTACCAACCATAGCTGAAAAAACCAGAAGGCAGTAAAAAAATTGCATCAGAATTACATGGCAGACAACGAGCCATAATACTAAGGAGTTATGCAGAAA